AGAGTTGGATTTATGATTTTTTTTTTTTTGGATAATTAAAGAATATGAGGAGGCATGAAAATTTGTGATTCGCTTGAAATATGACTGTATAATATCCTAAAATCAACTAATAATTTTTTACTTTTATCATTCATTTTAGAAAAAATTACATTTCAATGAATTAGTGGCAAAAAATAATCGTGGTTAAATGCATTCATATATTTGGTACAATTCTTCATTCTTCATGTGTCATAATTGTATTAAAAAAGATTTTTATTTGTAATATAATTATTTTGTAACTGTCTCATCAATTTATAATTTTCTCTTCACTTTATTAGTTTTTTTTGTTTTTGTTTTTGTTTTTGTTTTTTTGCTTTTAATTCCATATTCAATCTTGAACCGTGATTGAGGCCTCGAAATTCTGCCTCGAAATTGCCTCGAATGCAATTTTTTTTTTTTTTTTTTTTTTTTTTTTTTTTGTTTGTTTTTTCTGGGCTAAATCATTACAGAAAAAAATAAATAAAAATAATAATAATAATAATAAGCAAAGCATCAACCCAGCAAAAAAAAAAAAAAAAAAAAAAAGCAAATTCGAGGCAAATTTGAGCCAAAAAATTTGAGGCCTCAATCATTTTTGTTCAATCTTTCATCAAATGTTTCATTTTTAAATTTGATAAAAAATTGGTGAAAACGGTACTTCAACCATTTCATCACATTGACATCAAATAAAACTTCATTAAATCAAGAGAGTTTTTATTTTTTTTATCAAAATTTGCAGGCGCCCATTAGTGGATGACCAGCTGAACTATCGGCTAGACAACCTATGTGTCAACTAAGTTTTGGAATGAATTAGAAATTTTGTAAAAAAATTTAATGAAATTTTACTCTTGGCCGTGGTGACTGATAGAATTGATGAAAACTTACTCTTTAGCGTTACAGTGTATCAGATCAAACTTTTTATCAAATTTGATGAAGCAATAAAGATGCTCTAACAAGTCACTATTAAATTTACTTGATTTGAAGTCTAACAGATTGTTTGGAAAATGTTAGATTAACATATTTTTTGTTTTTTTATGAAAAAATATTAAATATGAATTGTGTTTGAGATGATATAATAGAGATGTTATATATGATTTAAATAAGATAATTATAATCCAAATTAAATAATATATTAAAATAACATGTGCTATTTTAACACATGCTAAACAAAGTGTAAATAGTCATGAAAAAAAGTGCTAAAGTGCCAATGTGAGATTTTGAATCCGAATTTATGACACTCTATTTTTGTCAAAAACATAAAATTTCTTTTAAATTATTTTTTTTGTGGGCGGATAAGTTTATCTCAAATCTCTACTTATAAAATTACGGAGAAATGAAGAGAAGTTATCAAATATATATATATATATATATATAATATTTGGCTCATTTGAATGAAATAGTTCATATTTTAACATGTAGTCCAAAAGCTATTCATTACTATTTCGTCACTTGACCAGAAAAAAAAGTATTATGCTGTTGTCACACATTGTTTTCGGGAGATGGGTCCCAAACTTTGCTAATGACGACAAATCTTACAATTTTGAGACGCATTAACTACTTATTAATTGACAAACGACAACCAAACAAACGTGGGTGTTTGGTGGATTTTTTTTTAACCAATTTATAGGGCTCGTTTGGTTTGATTTTCTGAAAAAATTTTGGGAAATTTTCTCTACAAATAAGTTTTCAAAAATAATGAAACCAAACAAATTTTTCCAAAAAAATTTCTCAAAACTTGTAAACCAAACAAGTTTTCCAAACAAATCTCTCTCTCACACATATCAAATCAATCACTTTTTCCAAAACTCTATCTCAAAATAATTTTCCAAAACATCTTTTAAAAAAAACTAAACCAAACATGTTTTCGTACTTTTTATCTCTAAAACACATCTCTCAAACACAAACCAAACATACCCATAGTTTTTGGTTTTTAAAAAATTATTTTTGATTATTTGGTTAAATTTAATTCAAATAATTTTTTATTCTAATAATTTATTTTAAGTCAAAAAAGTTGATTCTGAGAAGCTGTTCATCCCTTACTTCTGATTATCAGTTTCTGCTGTGGACATATTAATTCACGGTTATACTCTTAGATTTTTTTATTTTTTATTTTTTTAAAAATAGAAAAAGATCCAAATGGACTGTAGAATATTATTATTATTATTATTTATGAGAAATGTAGACAAATAGTAAATAATAAAAAATAAAAGTTAATTGAAAAAACTATTTCACAGCTTATTTAACAAACACTACTCAGCAACTTAAATCTAAAATTCAACAGTTAAACCAAACAGATTAACAATTTTTAATTAAAGTCATAATTTATAATCTATTAAGCTATAATGTATAATCTATTTCAATAGTTACACCAAACAGGACCCATGTGTCCCAATCTAAATAAATAAATAAACTTATGCCATCATTTTTAATTTTTTTATAATTAAATTTTAATTATTTTAAAATCATTTGAAGAAAAAAAAAATACTCTAAAGGATCCTGGTGTAGAGTGGATGGTAGCTTTGAGATTTGTAAAGTTTATTATTAATCCTATCTTGACAATTTAAATTATTTATTTTCTTAGACTTTGTATATTAATTATTTATAAAATAATTAATTAAATTTAATATTTTTAACTATATAATTTCAATATATTTATTTTTCAAAAATAAACAAAAAATACAAATTTTAAAATGAATTATATAGTTATGAATATCATATCAATTAATTTTTTTCACTATAAAACACACAAATTGGGTCCGTTTGGGAAGGGCTTTCCGGGTTTTTTTTGGCTATTTTAGCCACAAAAGACAAAATAGGCTATTTTAGTTAAAAAAAACAAAAATCACATCTAACCCATAATCATTACATTCTTCTCTAAAAAAAAAAATCAAAAAAGCCAAAAAACCAAAAAATCTTTCCCAAATCAAGTTTTTTAACCCAAGCTAAAATAATAAAAAAAAGTCAAAAAATCAAAAAGTTAACCCACTTCCTAAACGGAGGCAAAATTCTATGAAATAAATACTTTGAAACCCACACACAAACAGCACCTTTGTAATAGAGGGTCCCGCCCATAATTAATATCTTCTTCCTATGCATATAGCAGTATTCTTACTAAAATAATACCAGACGAAAAAAATAATGAATAGACCACGTCATATGATATGATAATCCCAATGATAAAAGCCAACACGTCTTAGAGTCAGTGGATAACTTCAGAAAATTTAAAAATAAAAATAACAATGATTCATCCTACTAAAAGTATCACCACTAATAGCACTAATACATTAAAAAAGTAAAAAAAAAAAAAAAACAACTCCAAGATCAAAACATCACATCATTAATGGCGAGACCCACTGCCACCTAATTAGTGGGAGCACTAATTAGGCCAAGTTTGGCTACTGTCAAAAAAGTGTACTTATTTCATCTTTTTATCTTTTTTGGATCACATCAATCAACATCTCCTCTCTACTTTTTCTACACATAATACAAAAAAAGTCAAAAAATACACTTATTTAGTCTTCCCAAACTAGGCCTTAGTACTCCCAAGCATTTTTCAAATAAAAAGGAGTTGAGTATGGACAACTCAATCTATTAAAATAATTTATACAGTTCTAAGTACTAATTCCGATCTTAAATATTAAGGCCCAGTTTGGCCACGCATGAAAAATTTAGAAAGGTAAAAATTTACTTGAAAAGTTAAAAAATTATCACTATTTACCAATTAAAAATATAAAAATATTAATTTACACAATATTACCATACAAAGACATGACTGGTGGTACCCGTGGTGGCGGTGCACTTTATTGGGCTGTCGATGGGGTAAAATAAAAAGAAGAAGGTATATCTATTCATTAAAGTGAAGGGTAATATTGGGCTAGTGGAGGCCATCACAGATTTCTCTTTAATAATTTAAACCATTCAATGTGTAGAACTCGTCGAGTACTATATGCCTATAAAAAATCACGTTAATCAGATATCGCTAACTATATGATCAAATTAGTTTTGTATAAAAAATAAATGGTGTTATAGTTAACAGTTGACAAAAAACTAACACAATTAGATAGTTATCGATATCCGATCACCATGATTTTTTTATAAATTTATAGTACTCGACGAGTTCTACACATTCAACGGTTCCGATTAACAAAACGTGACCCGTGGCAGCCCCCAAGGGCCGGACAACACCTCCAATTTAAGCCCGAGAAGTAGGCAATAATTTCCTATCTCCTAATCTGCCACTGCTCTGCTACACTGGTGTACGCGCTATCAATAACTTCTTTTATACAAATTTTTAATACACATTTTTTTGTAAAAAGTTAAAACAAACATTCATATTTTTTTTCTCAACTTTTTAGTCCAAAAAGATAAAAAATACACTTGTTTAGGACACCCAAACAATCCTTAAATATTAAAAATTAAAAATGGATAAGTATTGCTGGCGTGGAATTGCGGCCTAGAATAATACTTAGAGCATCTCCAATGCACTAGGCATATAATGCTTGTTAGTTAAAATGCCTAGTGTGATTCATTTTTTTCAATTCCAATGCACTAGGCATATGATTAGGCATTTTGGCTCAACTCATATTCACTAGCTACATGTAGCTAGCCTTCAACGCTAGGCAAAATGTGTTCAATCAATAGGATCATTTCCATCCATTTTTGTTATTGACGTGACATTCTATAAAATTAATAGTATTTGGATAAATAGCTAAAATAAAGAGCATGGTTGGAGTAAAAACATAAAACAGTTGATAGGCAAAATAAAATATATACTTTATAGTAATATTTAGATAGGTAAAATGCCTACTACCGTTGGAGATGCTCTTAAGGTCTTTTAATAATTCTTCAATTTTGTATAAAATTGAGAACAACAAAAATCGACAATTTTTTTAAATCTTTTAACGTGTGTCCATAGTAGTGATGATCAAGAAATTTCGATGAACTAATTTTTATTTTTATTTTTATTTGTTTATTTTTTTGAGGAATATAAAACTTCATTCATTGAACTAATTATACTTGAATTGCAGCAGATTGTCCAACAATCCCAAAAGAATAATAGCAACAGAAACTCAGTTCCAAGAACTATGAACCAAAAAAAAAAAAAGATTGTTAAATAATCCCCTCAAAATAACAGGAAAACATTGTTTCAAATTCCTAAGATGGTCCTTATCTGATCAGGGGGATGCCTAGACAAGGACTTGGGATCTGGGTACCGATTCTTTGGATCCATGATCGCCTTGTAAATAAGCTCGTATGCTTCAGCCAGTGATCTAGCCACTTGAATACAAGTTTCAGATCGTAACTTTGGTACCTGCATCTGCTCAAACTCTGGCGGAGAACTTTCGCTTCCTAAAATAAGTCCAAAGAACGCCTTCAAACACTCTGAAAGAGCAGTTGGAGACGTGTCCTCCATCTCAGCTAATAGGATTTCCTCGCTGTTCAATGAATTTTGGAAGTGAGACATTTTGTTTGACAAGCCACATCTTCTTAGAATGGTACCAACTTCTTTTTCCACAAGACTGTTCATGTGATTATCTATCATTGTTCCGAGCTTTTTCACATATTCAGATGCAACCCCGTGTCCTAATAATGGTTGCTGGATGGCGCACAAGCAGTTGATGAGGAAAATCTTGGAGGGTGTTTCACTAGTCTGCACGAACCCACAATATCTCAGGTTACAAGACTCCGAAGCAATAACAAAAAATACATGAGCAAAGTGCAAACTGTAGCAATATAACACATTGTCTATGGACATAATGAAATGCACAAAGAGGAATGGATCAAAGTTTGATGGTCTAGATCATAATGACATCAAATCAATCAACTACACCAACATTTAAACCCACAAAGATCTTGAACTAGTTAAAATAACTTCTATTAATGTGTGTGGAAAGCATTAAATTCTAAACTAGCAAAGAAGAGAAGGAAAGAACAGAAAGTCTAGGGGGGATTAACTGTGAATTGTTTGGAATAATTCAGCACTTCGCATATTATATGGGAAAATCAAGATTTTCTGTCTCGCAAAAATGAGTGATCTGCTTAATGTAAAAAAAGGGGGATAAATTGAGACAAAAAAAAGTCCAGAGAATTCAATAGAACAGCTTAGGTCACCCAATCATATATAGTTTGCAGACTGAAGTCTGATGCGCCACGTGTAATTGGAACCGACAGCTGTTTCTAGACCAGCAATCAGTTTGTCTAACTATTAACCATGTAATATAAATGTGTAAACAACTTTCACGAGCAGCACAGCATAAAGTAAACGAAATTCCAGTACAAGCATTGAGAAATCTGAGATCTAACAAGGTGAGAATACAAGGCGTAAGCAAATACAAACCTGAGACGTAGCTAAAGTGTTGCTGTTTGCCAAAATTGCATCAACAGATGATTTACTGAGTTGGCTTGGGTCAGAAGTAGTTTTATTTCTTCTAAAGGAATGAATAGCTCCTTTGGACTTGTGTGCTTCTACTGCTTGTTCACATATCTGCAATAATTGGAAATATGCATAGATTACATATATACATAGAGAGAGAGAGAGAGAGAGAGAGAGAGAGAGAGCAATTGATGCAGTAAAGTTGATGTGAGACCTATGATAAGACGATAAATTGATCCACATTAATGTAAAGAAAATAATTTTAACATCAAATTGGTGGAATAGGATGAAGCTCTGTTTACCAAATTGATGTAGAACACAGTAGGGGAGGGAGAGAGAGAGAGAGAAGAAACACCCAAGAGGCCACAGCCTTAAACACTTCCAATATTACTGAATCAAAACTGATTAATACTAATTTCCCGTCCAAATTTTAAATGGTGAGTGATGAAGCACCACATTGAAGCATGAGTTTTAAGTCCAAGGACTTACTTGCTACAATTAGAAGATGAGTGAGCAAAGTGAAATTCAGATGTCTGAGCGTGAAAAGTGTAACTTACCCAAAAGTTAAATACTGTGGGTGTAAAATTTGCTTATAATTAGAATGTAAAATTTTTGTATTTGTCTCAAAATTTTGCAGATATCTAGCACCTATGAACTTTGTATTTGTCTCAAAATGAAGCAACTAGGAGTAGGTCTGTCAATTATAAGGGAAAAAACATCATCAAATGTAAAGCATAAGACACCTGAATAATAGGATCTAGTAATGCAGATATCACCGGATCAAAGTCAGACTTCTTTCCTGAAGCAGGAACCATTATGCCATCATGCGTCTCAATTATCTCAAGCAATACCGATACTCCTTTCCTCACTGCAGGTGGTGGGGAAAGATCAACAGCAACAAGGGGTGGATACCGTAACAGCTTCTCTCCTCGAGTTTTCAGAATGTCAAAGAATGTTTTTCTGAGAAGCATCTTTTAGTGCCCAAAGTGTGTTACAAAGGGCTGTTTCTCTCCCCAACAAATCTGATATCTGTAAGAGAATAAACTGTTAAACAAGCAAAGAAATACCCACAAGACAACTGATTCATCCAAAAGTGGATTATCATTCAACTCACAGTAAAGCTGTAAAACTCCCGGGTATTACTAAGTTTGTATGAAATTATAAAACTAGGTTGCGACTGCAAAACTTGTTCAACTCTAACTTTAAATGGCCGGCAAACTCCTTCAAAAATCCTGTCTAGAACAAACGTCAAGTCAGTCTCATTTTTTCCTATATCACTCTCTAAACCTTTGGAGGAGAATTGGCGTGCAGTCGGGCCAGTATCAACCACTGCATCTGGATCTAGCAATGCAAGGACAAGTTCTCTTTCAGATGCCAATGCCAGCAAGAAAAGCGACAGAATTATGCCATAAGGTAATTCTTACACAATAAAAACAGTTTCAGCTCTCAAAAGATTGAAAGTAGAAACAAGGGAAAAAAAAATAAGGAATGTGTGCCACACCTGATGTAGCCACCCTAGCATGTCACCTACATAACGTAAGGGATCATGAGCATGTACTTCAATGGGTCTGGGAATTCCACCAGGTCCTCCACGGGTAAGAGCACTTATAAACCTCCTAAATAATGCATTATGCCTCATATTTGCCACCTGTATGATAACAATGGAAATGTGTATGTAAACTGCTAGGAAACTCGATGGATTTTGTACAATTTTGAATGACTCGATATTTAAAGCTTTTATAATATAACTACCTCTTCTGCACAATACTTGAAAAGGACAAGCCTTTCTTTGAGGCAGCGCACTGCTGTTCTCAAAAGTTCACTGACTTCAGGATTATCAGTGTCACCCAGTCTCCTACATTCTGCCTGAACCCACCTAGAAGAAGAGAGAAGAGCCCCAAAAATAAATTTTTTAAAAAAGTATATGCAAGAGCCACAGAACTATAATAAACTAATTTCAAAAACTTAAAATGAGAATATCCACGCAAAAAAAATTTCCTATTCAATTTTTGATACATAGAAAAACCCTTGAAATTATGAAATCACCAAAATATTATTGCGTCATTAACTACTAATATTAAAGAGACAAAATTGAGCGGCAGCATATGAACTCAAAAGAAACATAAAATAGGAGTTAACTCAATAATTCGCAATCAATATAATTGACAAGTGACCCATTTTTCACATTTATAACTTGAAAAGAAATGGAAATAGAAAGCTGTATGTCTTAAGTTTTGAAGTCCTAAGTAGAAAAAAAATTAAATTAAATTAAAGTTTCAACTTTCAAGGGTTTAGAGTTTCCATTTTTCCCCCCCTATAGACATGCACAGCACCATCAACCTTTCCCTGCTCAGACTATAGCAGTCAAGGGCTGGTTTTGTGCAGCTGTATTAACTTACGGCCTGACAATGCTTGTGCCAACCAGCTCGGCCATCTGCAATTAAAATCCCAAAAGAAAAGAAGGACGTGTACCAATCCATACTTTCTTTTTAAAAAATTTAATCTTTGAGCCTCATTTTATTGACTTCAAACATGTGGCAAGGCCTTGTGTGTGTGTGTCCAAGCAATAGACACATACTTTGGCATGTGTTTGGAACTTGTGTAGTTTTCAACAAAAAAAAAAAAGGATAAAAAAGGCATGTTTTATGTGTGTTGGTGTTTGAGACGAACACAGCATCCTCGGAGGCACATCCGTGCTTCCTCCAGATGACCAAATATATTAAGAGGTGAAAGATACCTGTACCAAATGAGAGTAAGGAGATACATAATAAATAAATAGATAAAGTCTCTCAAGCGATTGAAACTATAGTTTAAGAGCCTATACAGATGTTTTCATAATAAAAATAAAAAATAAAACTTCATATTTTGGATGGCACACTAGCAAGATAAACAAAGAATATCAATGAAAAAAAGATGAAAACTGAGTAGTTTCCATTCATCTAAAGCTTCACCTGCATAGGCGCTCATAGGCTCCTTCTTGGTACACAGCCATCATATCCATGAGCTCCAAACCTGCACGCTGAAAAGGGTCCTTGGGTAAATTCCATGTATTATTATTTTTATTTTTCTATTTAGAAGGGGGAAAATAAAGAAATCCATCCAACAAAAGTAAAAGACCATCAACCAAAAGTAAACAGCTTCATAAACTGAGAATCTAAGCTCAGTTACCTAAAATATTGATTAGCACTGACTGCTTGCAGAAAGTAGGCATCCAAAGGCAAGTCAAATGAGCTACTCGCCCTCAGAGTTGAGATACAAGAAAAAACTAAGAGATTTGTAAGGTAAACTGGAGGCCTTCAAAAAGAAGCAATCTTTCATCAACATAAAATTATCCACAACAATATTACTATAAAGTTAACACAAAAAAAAATCTATGAACTTTCTCGTTTTTAACTTGACATGGCCTTTTCAGATGGTATATATGAACTTCCTCACTAGTAGAACTCCAGAACTATGATTTCCCCGGGCCTAATCAAGATGGTAAGGTAAGTTTCTAATAATATATTCAAATCAATAGAGAAAAGGGTTGTCCAATGGGAAGTCCCATCTGACATACACGGAAGGACATCAACGTTTCATAGGAGAAATGACATGTACAGCATTACAATACATAAAAATTATGTATTACCATATATACATACAACTCCGCCGGTACCAAGCCCGGGTTAAGGAGGAGGGTTGTGCGTTAGGTAGCCGACAGCCAACACGTAAAAAAGCGGCTCAGATCCCTTATGACAATGAATCCCACCAAGGATCCTCTAGAGTGTTTTTTTCTTAAAGTTTCTTAAAGTGGTGTATTGTGTGGTTGAGATTTAATATTGAAAAATTGATGTGACTTGTCATGAAATCTCAACCACACAATGCACCACTCTAGGAAACTTTAGGGAAAAAAAACTCTAGAGGATCCTTGCTCAATGAATCCTACTTTGAATCGTTTAAATGCTAGGTCGTTTCCCTCGAGTGACGCGTTGCACTTGCCTTTGGGTGTTTCGAAAAGTGAGCAAGGGCCATCACATCGACGCTTGGGTGCGGTGAAAAATGAGTAAAGGTTCCCGCGTTTTTCTGGACGAGCGCGGGTAAAGAAGTAAGTTCAAGACTATAGGTTTAGAGTAGCCACTTGAAATATAGGAACTTTAACTGGTAAAACAATGGAATTAGTAGTTGTTATGATTAGGAAGAGAGTTAGTATAGTTTGCATACAAGAAACTAAGTGGACGGGTGAGAAAGATAGGAAAATTGAGAATATCGGTTTTAAACTGTATTATAGCGATAAAGATAGACGTAGGAATAGGGTAGGAATCATAATTGCCAAGGGTCTTGTGGAGAATGTAATGGTGGTCATTAGGAAAAGGAATATGATTATGTTAGTTAAACTAATTATTAGAGGGAATATAGTGTATGTTATTAGTGCATGCGCCCCTCAAGTAGGATTAGATGATCAAACTAGAAGAGATTTTTGGGAGCAAATGGATGAGATCTTACAGGAGATACCTGTTAGACTTATTTATTTTGATGATTTATTTAATTATGTTTTAATTTATTTGGAAGAGAAAAATAGAATCAAAATTTATTTTGATGATTTATTTGAAAGAGAAAAATAGAATCAACATTTATTTTGATAATTTTATGTTTTAATAAAATCAAAATTTATTTGTCACATTATTTCTCACCTAAACCTTTATCCTAAATATTATTAGAATGTATTTAATATTTGATTAAATCAGGAGTTCAAACAGCATAAAATAAAGGTTCAAACAGCTTAGTACAACAACAGTTCAAAAGGTTCAAGTGGAAGATATTCAAATTTGTAATGATGGAGTGGAATATATTCAAATTGGTAATGATGGAAGTACAACGGCTATAAACGGTTATAAATTCAAATGACTACAATGGCTATAAACAGATATAATTTTCATTATATATACCAAAGCCTCTAATGTAAACAAGTTAGAAAAACTTGAAAATATTCTTTGATTTATAATCAATCACATCTATTTTCAGAAATTATACACTGAGCCTTATAACTTTAAGCCCATCTTTTCTGTGTGAGGTTTACAGAAAAACCAGAGCTTCATTTTTGTTTATATATTTGAGAGATAATTCTTGTAACTTTCTGTGAAAGCAAAAACACATTTTTTTCAACCTTGTAAGAGTGTAGTACACTCAGTGTTCTTGACTTAGAAAGTCAGTGTAAAATCTGTAGAGGATTGCTCCATCTGTGAAAAGGTTGCTAGCACCCTGTGAAGCTAGAGTATAGTGGAAAATCTCAAGTGAAGCTTAATGAGTGGACGTAGGCCGAGTTGAAACTGAACTACTATAAATTTGTTTGTCTCTCTCTCCCTTATCTCTTTATTTTATTTTAAATTGCCATAGCTATATTTCACATTTTTACTGTGCTAAAATCATTAACTAACATAGTTGTTAAGACACTTGTTTTAATTATTTTTATTTCATTAATTATATTTATCTATTGTGCTAGTCATAATTTTTATTAGGGTATTATTAATTTTAATTATAAAAACCTAATTCACCCCCTCTTAGATTGTCTTTTGGGTAACAATTGGTATCAGAGCCTAAACTCTTACCTTAGATTTAGCCATCTAAGAGTTTCGATCCATGGCAACCTTAGCTAGCACTAGCACTACTGAAGGACAAGCCACCAATAAGCCACCATTATTTGACAGAAACAACTATAGTCATTGGAAAGATAAGATGACCCTATACCTACAAGCCACTGATTATGCTATGTGGATTATTGTCACCAAAGGTCAAAAAATTCCTACCAAATTGGTAGACAATATTAGTGTACCTAAAACTGAAGATGAATGTGATGAGAGGGATCACAAATTATTGTAAGCCAATGCTAAAGCCAAACTCACCCTTGTTTGTGGATTAGACTCTAAGGAGTATAATAGAATTTCAAATTGTGATTCGGTAAAAGAAATTTGGGACAAACTTGAAGTAACTTATGAAGGTACAAATCAAGTAAATGAATCTCGTATTGATATAATTGTTCATAGTTATGAATTGTTTAAAATGAACTCTGATGAATCTATTTCAAATATGTTTACTAGAATTACTGAAATTGTAAACTCTTTGAAATCTCTTGACAAAACTTATACTAACAATGAGTTGGTAAGAAAATTCTTAGATGTTTACCAAAGAATTGTGAAGCAAAGGTCACTGCCATTATAGAAGCCAAAGATCTCTCCACACTTGGATTGGATGAGCTTATAGGTTCCCTTATGACTCATGAGATCACCATGAAAGAACATGAAGATGTTGAAAAAAAAAAAGAAAGTGGAATTGCATTCAAAACCTCATCAAATAAAGAAGAACATGAAAACTCCAGTGAGGATGAACGCTATGCCATATTAAGTAGAAATCTCAAAAAGCACTTCAAGAAAAATAATTATGGAGGAAGAAGATCTTTCAAGAAAGAGTACAACAAAGATAACAAGAAATAGCCTATTATTTGCTTTGAGTGCAAAAATCCTGGATATATGAAGATGGATTGTCCAAAATTGAAGAATCATGGAAAAGACTACAAAAGAAACAAAAAGGCCATGGTAGCAGCTTGGGAAGAAAGTGAAGATAAAAGCTCAGGTGATAAAATTGAAAATGAAGTAGCTAACTTATGTCTCATGGCTTTTGAAGATGAAGACTCTATTCAAGATGAGGTAACTACTCTTTATGAAGAACTTGAAAGTGCATTTCATGAACTATCAAATGAATTTAAAAAAGTTTGTACCAAAAATAATGTGTTAAAGAAATCTGTTGCAACTTTATCTATTAATGTAAAAGAATTAAAGAAAGAAAAAATTATTTTGAAAAATGATTTTGATACTATCTCTAATGAGAAAATTACTTTAAAAAATAATATTGATGATTTAACAAAAACACTTGAAAATTTTGTAAAAGGTAGAGATAATCTCAACATACTTCTTGGAAATCAAATATGTGTTTTTGATAAAGCGGGTATTGGATATGACCCTATTAAGAAACAAAAGAATCTCAATACAATTTTTGAAAAGGCACATCTCATGACACACCCTCATATTACTTGTCACTATTGTAGAAAGAAATGCCATTATATATCTTATTGTCCATTCAAAATGAATATGAATATGAGAATTAAAAAGATTTGGATTATTAAGGGATCTAACAAAACTAACCAAGAAGGACCAAAGAAACTATGGGTACCAAAAACCAACACTTGATTGTCATCTTGTAGGTTTGTTTTAAGTCCAAAGTTAAAGAAGGGAAGTAATATCTTGATAGTGGATGTTCCAGACACATGACCGGAGATAAATCATGCTTTACTAAACTATCATCGAAAGATGGAGGATTTGTTACTTTTGGAGATAACAAGAAAGGAAAAATCATTGGTATTGGTAGCATCGGTATTTCTCCTAACTCTTCTATTGAAAATGTTTTACTTGTTGATGAACTTAAGTATAACCTACTTAGTATTAGTCAATTATGTGATAAAGGCAATCGAGGTATTTTTAATAAATCACATTGCACAATTGAAAGCACAAATGATCATAAAGCTTTATTCGTTGGTAATCGCCATGATAATGTTTATGTTTTTCATCTTAATGATCTCTATGCTAGTGATGTTAAATGTTTATATGTTAATAATGAAAATAGTTGGTTATGGCATAGAAGACTTGGTCATGCTCATATGAATTTAATTGCTAAACTTTTGAGAAAGGATTTGGTCATTGGACTTCCAAAAATTAAATTTGAAAAAGATCATCTTTGTAGTGCTTGTCAACAAGGAAAACAAACTAAAACATCATTTAAATCAAAATCTCATATTTCCACAACTAGACCTTTAGGCCCTGTTTGATTCCAGGATATAAAGTGTGGGATTGGATATTATATGCTGTGGGGTCCACATATCCCATGTTTGTAACTTTTTTTTAAAGAGGATATAATATACTATGGGATTGTAACGGAGGAAATTTATGATGCTTTGATCTTGAGTATTGACAACCCTCTTAAATCTTGGATTTTAGATTTTGGGGCATCATTCCATTGTACTAGGGAAATCATGGACAATTACATTAGTGGTGATTTTGGGAAGATTTATTTGGCTGATGATGAACCTTTGAAGATTGTGGGTAAAAGGGATGTAATAATCAGGTTACTAAACAGATCTGTTTGGAAGATACAGAATGTCAGACATGTGCCTGGTTTTAAAAGAAACTTGATTTCTATTGGACAACTTGACGATGAAAGTGATATTGTAACTTTCATGGGTGGTTTGTAGAAAATCACGAAATGAGTCATGGTTGTTGCTCGTGGTAAAAAAGAAGGCACCCTTTATATGACTACGAATAATAGGAATGTAGTAGCAATTGCTAGAGAAAAGGGAGTGTGGCACCAAAGGCTTGGGCATATGAGTCAAAAAAGGATAAAAGTACTTGCATCTAAAGGTAAACTGTCAGATTTGAAATCGGTGGACATTGACTTTTGTGAGGATTGCATCTTCAGCAAACAAAAGAGGGTCAGTTTTTCAAAGGATGACAGGAAACCAAAGTCAGAAAAATTGGAGTCGGTTCATACAGATGTGTGGGGACCTACACTAGTTTCATCTCTTGGAGGATTATCATACTACGTTACCTTTATCGACGACTCAATGAGAAAGGTATAGGTTTATTTTTTGAAACATAAATCTGAAGTTTATACTACTTTTAAGAAGTGGAAAGCCTTGGTGGAGACTGAAACAGGTCTGAAAATTAAGTGCTTGAGATCAGATAATGGAGGGGAATATGAGGATAATAAGTTCAAGAAATATTGTGCAGAAAGTGGAATTAGAATGGAGAAGACTATTCGAAAGACACCTCAATAGAATGACGTCGTAGAATGCATAAATAGAACTCTGAATGAACGTGCTAGAAATATGAGGATACATGCCGGATTACCAAAGATGTTTTGGGCAGATGCAGTTAACACTGCAGTATATCTGATTAATAGTGGTCCATCTGTTCCATTGGATGGAGCTACCAGAAGAAGCCTGGAGCGGTAAAAAGGTAAATCTTTTTTTTTTTTGAAGGTATTTGGTTGTGTTTCATATGTGCATATAGATTCTGCTGATAGAAGTAAACTTGATTCAAAATCTGTTAAATGTACTTTTATTGGGTATGGCATTGATCAATTTGATTATTGATTTTGGGATAATAAAAATCGAAAAATAATCAGAATATTTAATGAGAAAGTAATGTATAAGGATATAGATAAGTATGCATTTGAATCTGAATCTGTTACTTGTCATGAGCATGTTGAGTTAGAGGAGATTATTGAGAATGATTTGAATAGTAGGATTCAGAATAATCCTGAAAATCTTATTCCACAAACTAAGCTACATACTCCTACTTCTAAGTTGAGACGGTCAGAAAGAGACTCTAAACCTATATAGCGTTGGTCTTCATCTTTACATTATTTGTTGTTGTCTGATGGGGGGTGAACTCAAAAGTTATGATGAGGCTTTATAGGTTGATGATTCAATCAAGTGGGAGTCAGCTATGCATGATGAAATGGATTCACTCATGGTAAACCAGACATAGAGGTTGACTAAATTAGCAGTGGGTAAGAAAGCTTTGCACAACAAGTGGGTTTATAGGGTCAAACAAGAACATGATGGGAGAAAATGCTACAAGGCCAGATTGGTTGCAAAGGGATTTCAGCAAAAAGAAGGGGTTGACTACACTGAAATTTTCTCTCTAGTTGTGTAGTTGATCACTATCAGATTGGTGTTGGGAATTGTGGCTGCTGAAGATTTGTATCTTGAGCAGATGGATGTGAAGACGACTTTTCTCCATAGTGATTTGGATAAGGAAATTTACATGAAGCAACCACAAAGTTTCTTGGCACGTGGCAAAGAGGAGTTTGTATGCAAACTTTGAAAAAGCTTGTATGGTTTGAAACAGGTCCCAAAGCAATGGTACAAGAAGTTTGATGGATTTATATGTAGCAACGGTTTTACAAGATGTCAAGCAGATCATTACTCTTATTTCAAGAGGTTTGACAAAAGTTATATTATTTTGCTCTTATATGTTGATGATATGCTTATCGCAGGATTTAGCATTGAAGAGATAAGAAGATTGAATAAACTTTTGTCTAACTAATTTGAGATGAAGGATCTTGGAATTGTAAGCAAAATCCTTGGTATGAGGATTCATAGGGACAAGGCAAATGGTATTTTGAAGTTGTTACAGCTTGAGTATGTTAAGAAAGTTCTCAAGAGGTTTAGCACGGATAGTGTAAAACCAGTGAGCACTACATTGGCTAGCGATTCAGACTTACCAAATAGCAGTCTCCGAAGACCGAAGAAGAGGGCTTACATGGAACGTGTTCTATATGCTTCAGCTATCAGTAGCATAATGTATGCTATTGTTCGTATTAGACTAGACATTACACATGCAGTGAGAGTAGTTAGTAGGTACATGAGTAATCCAGGCAAACAGCATTGGGAAGCGGTGAAGTGGATCCTTAGATACTTGAGTGATACTACAGACATGTCACTTTGTTTCAGATGAACCGGCATCGGGTTACATGGTTATGTTAATGTAGACTTGGCTGGTGATATGGATAACAAAAAGAGTACTACTGGTTATGTTTACACATTGGGTGGTACAGTAGTGAGTTGGATTTCCACTTACAGAAAATTGTGGCCCTTTCTACGACAAAGGCTGAGTATGTTGCTATTACTAAAACTGGGAAGGAGATGACTTGGTTATAGAATTTCCTAGCAGAGTTGGGTAAGACGCAAGAGATGAGTATTTTGCATAGTGACATTCAAAGCGCTATTCATCTTGCAAAGAATTCGGCTTTTCATTATAGGATAAAACACATTCAACTGGGATACCATTTCATTCGTTCACTTGTAGATGATGGAGTCTTGTCTCTTGAGAAGATCCAAGGCAGTAAGAATCCAGCAGACATGTTGACCAAGACAGTCACCATTGACAAACTGAAGTTGTGTGTAACTTTAGTTGGCTTTCAAGATTGATGAAGGAAGATCGAGTTGTTGCAGCATTCCTTTATATGATAAAGATGATGGAGAGCTTGTGTTATCAAGTTTCAAGTGGGAGATTGTTGGGTTGCTGGACCCTGATAAATACTGTTCACTCAACCTTAATGTTCACTTAAACACTAGGTCCAATTGAGGGTTTGGGTACTTTCGTAATTCCCATGCGATAAATATTGTAATTCTATACTTATAAATAAATGAGGGGCGCCTCTTTTAGGTTGAAAAGAGAGTTGTATTTTTTCTGATCATAGTGAAAACCATAGCAGTCGTGGACATAACCCTATTTTGGGGTGAACCACGTAAATCCTTGTATTCTTTTGTGTGTGATTTGTTTGATTCGTTAATTTCTTTCTTGTTTGTTATTTCGTGTCTTACCGATCTTGGTTAGAAATGGTCAATTCCTAACATGCTTGAACGCAACTCTTGTTGCTCGAGCGGTCTGCAAAAATAATAAACTTCTGGGAGCATGTATTTTATGCTCAAGCCAACTTTTGGTCGTTCGAACGGAAGTGCAAAATACAGAGTTGTCGCTCGAGTATAAGATCTGTCGCTCGAGCATAGAAACAAAATTATGATATTTCCAAATTTGCTTCCAAGTTCCAAACTCAACCCCAAAATTGCAAATCAAGTTCTTTGGGTAAAAAACTTAAGGAAACTTGTATAAACTTGTCAAACATTAAGAATTCAAAACTATTTCGCAAAATCAAGACCCAAAAGCATGCCAATTGTGTGAAGTCAAACTTGAAATGTTGAAAACAAATCATGTATGTAATTTCTTGACTTCAAAGCTTCCAAATCATGATCAAATAAGGCAAATTGATGGAAAACATGATAAATTCTCAAAACTATGGTGGACTTGGTGCATGCATGTGAGAATTCTTAACAATTAAGCTCAAAATGGAAGAAAATGTGCATGCATGCATGAATGATATGTTCTTTCTTCCTACCTCACTAGCTCAATTCTTGCATTACTCAATTAAATTCTCTTGAATTCATGGTCTAGACATCATAAGTATCCAATCTAAGGGTTGAATCCTTACCTCACTTCTCAATTATGCTCTGGATGGTAAATTCACTAAGGTTCCAAGCTAATTCCCTTGAATTCTCTACCAATTCCTTTGTTTGTATTCGATTCTCTCCTTTCAGTCTCTCACACATTTATGAGCTTAGTATGAGGGGATGAGAGTGTGTAACTTGAATGTCTTGAGTCAAATAAGCCTTATATAGGCTTGATCAAGAGTTGGTTAATTACACTTGAATTAGTCTAAGCAATGACCATTAATTTATTCTAATTAATTCGTTTCGAATCAAATTTCAATTCAACTTACCATAATTTCCTAAAAATCCCAAATAACACATAAGCTAAGTTAATTTCATGATCAGATGCCGATAGAGCTTTCAATTCACAGAACAAAATAGAAACATGAACAGATCTTTCTACGATAGATAGATACAAATGCAAATAACATATAATTCATACAATTAACACATGATTTCCTCTTAATTACTGATTAGGTATTCTTAATCATGGTTTAACAGTTAATCAAAAGTCGATGTTGTTACACACTTCTACAACTATCAAGCAGTAAATTTATACTATATGTTTTCCATCTCAAGAAAAACAACCATTGGAAAAATTATTAAATAAAACACACACACACAATAAAAATTAGTAGATGTTTTAGTTTTGTGGAATCATCCTCCAGTTTCTTAGCCACCAAACATAACTAAATATGAAAAAGAATAAGGGGAGAGAGAGAGAGAGAGAGAGAGATGTTACTTTCAATAATTGCAAGGTCTTTGGAATCATCGGCCTTGTTGGCCTCAGGAGAAGGAAGATGAATTAGGGATTTGTGCTGAGCTACGTCTTTTGGAGTTTCGGTGGTGGGTTCTAGTGTGGAAGTCAGAAAAGGTGGAGGAATTACTGACAGCCTTTGGATTTCTAACAATTTCTTAGGCTCCTCATCTTCTGTCATTTCTTTGGTTAACCGGATGGCCAAGAGGACAACCGGCAGGAAATTCGGCCGGTCCCATCCCCAACGTGCACGCACAGTAAATTGGTGAAAGTTGGCGCAGGTCCTCAGTTTGGTGAAAGATTTGGAGTATTCTCAATTTGATACAAGTTTGATGAAACTATTAGAGATCAAAAAATATACTTTTTTACCAAATTTAAATTTGATAATAAATTTAGTTAAACTCTATTTGTTTTAGATTTTTTTTAATATATAAATTATGTTTTTTAATATTTTTTATAAAAATAATTTAACAATCTTATCACTAACCATAATGTATGAGAGAAGTTGAAAATGGTACTGCAGTAACTATGCACGAGTTGTATCTATAATTATTTGTATAAGGGGATTTTAAATGTTGATTAGAGGACTTTGACTAAATCAATAAATGTAGGCATGTGGAAAGACATGTGGATTGAAAAAAGTTAATAAATGCTAATCAGGAGATTTTGACCAAATCAATAAACGCTGAGATTTTTTTTTAAAAAGAAAAAATTTTAAAAATCCAGATTGAGATATTGGAACTCCCATAGGACTTGGGAGTTAGAAACGTTTTTTCCTTAATATATATACTAGCCAATCACTAGGATAATTATAGATATTTATATTTGTTTTAATTTTTTTTTAATATATAAATTATGTTTTTTAAGATTTTTTATAAAAATAATTTAACAATCTTATCACTAACCATAGTGTATAGGAGAAGTTGAAAAGGGTACAACAGTAACTATACACGGATTGTATCTATAATTATTTGTTTGAGGGGATTTTAAATGTTAATCAGGAGATTTTGACCAAATAAATAAATGCAGGCATATAAAAAGACATGTGCATTAAAAAAAGTTAATAAATGCTGATCAGGAGATTTTGACTAAATCAATAAATACTGAGTTTTTTTTTTAAAATAAAAAATTTAGAAAATTCAGATTGGGATATTGGAGGCCTTGGGGGTTAAAAACTCCTTTTTACTTAATACTGGTGGCAACCCATGCTATGCACGGGAATGTATAATTTAAAATAAAAAAATCTTATAAATTTAAAATATAATAGGGAGTTATAACTAACAAATATTTTGAATATGATAACTATCAAATACCTAAGTTCATACATTCATTTTTTCCATAAATTTGTCATTTGAAACATTGATTATAAAATTATCTTAGTCCAAGTAGGTCATTTAGCAACATGAACTATATTTCTATTGGGCATTATTATAGCTTTAAAAACAAATAATGTAAAAATGGGTGCTATTACAAATAATGTAAAAATTTAAAAATGAATACTGCCTAGCCAATTGTGACATTGTTGATGATTGAATGCAACTCGAATCTTAAATGCAGAGTTTGAACAAAACTTTATACCCAATATACAAACACTAAAAACACTCGATGGTATGTTAGAATATATAGCTGAAGTGTGAAGCATTTGAAAAATAAGATAAAAATGAAATTGGAGATCATTATCAGATATAAATAAATTTGAAGATAATTATTAGATTAAAGATTAAAATAAATTAAAAAAAGGGATCATATGAAAAATAAAATAAAAATAAAGTTGGAGATAATGATAGGATTGGGGATAAAAAAAAATTAAAAAGGAAGAAATAAGAAATAAAGATAAATGAAGATACTGGAGAAAATTAAGCAAAATAAAAAATTAATAAAAAGGGAAAAGGAGTCTTAGATAAAGTAAAAAATTTAAAATAAAAACAATATTAAGAGAAAGAAATTTTTTTATTGGAGAAAAATAAGGATGACGAAAAATTAAAAACATAACTTTGAGAGAGCGACATGGAGGAAATAGAATCTTAACTCTGATTAAGAATTGAGAATTGAGACTTTGAAAATTTTAGAGAACACACTATATTTGTTTATATATATAGTATAGATATATACATAGGTAAAAAGATAGATATTAAATCTAATTTGAAAAGCAAAGATAAAAGTAAAATAAACATCCTACAAAAAAAGAAGAGAGAAATGTGAGAATTCGGTTGCTGATAATCAAAATTTTAAAAAGATAAGATACTTATGAGTAATTATGTATGAGTATAAGATAATTTAATTTTTTTTGTTATATCAAAATAAAGGCATATATATTTTATTGAATAGTAGCAAATAAATTTACTTTTTTAATAAAGTTTTAATAGAATAAAATATATTTAATTAAATATATTTTTTTATTTTTGCCAAAATTTTAAAATTGAGAAATTGTGTTTAAGGCTTTGAAGTTGTTGTGTGTGTGTGTGTACTTAATTAGGTGTATATTGGTTGCAGATGATCAGAAGAACTCTCATTTGAGAGAGTTTGAAGGAGCAAAGGTGAGATTAACTTTATGCAGAGCTGATCTTCTTGATTTCGAGAGTTTATGCGAAACTATTAATGGGTGTGATGGTGTGATAGACATGAAATAAAATAAAATAAAATAAATTATATTAAATTCAAGATTGATGAGTTTTGAATCTGATTAAATTGAAGAATAAACGCAAATCACAAATTAAAAAGTAAGCAAGCCCAAATCATGCAAAATGTAATGATGAAGAAAATGAAAATATGTGTATGAATTGAAAAATATTAGAAAAATATATATATACACACAAAAGTAATAGACACTGGAAAAATACGTATAAAGTAAGAAATAATATTAGGAGAATAAAAATGGAGAAAATGAAAACATGTGTAGATGAATTGAAAAATATTAGAAAAAAATATATGCACACAAAGTAACAAACACTGAAAAAATACATATAAAGTAAGAAATAATATTACACTGACCTTGTAATGATTTTCATAGATCATCAAACTTGCAAAGTATAACAATGGAGATGATGAGTTATTTTGAGGAAAGATAGGTAGATGGGAGAATGATTGAATGTAATAATGGAGAAGATGAAAAGATATGTAGATAAACTGAAAAATATTAGCAAAAAGAAATATATACACACAAAAGTAATAAACATTGAAAAAATGCATATAAAGTAAGAAATAATATTAGGAACATAAAAATAAAGAAGATGAAAAGATGTGTAGATGAATTGAAAAATATTGAGAAAAGAAATATATACACACAAAGTAACACACACTAAAAAAATACATATAAAATAAGAAATAATATTACACCGATCTAGTAACGATTTTTCCATATCATCAAACTTGCAAAATGTAACAATGGAGAGGATGAGTTATTCTGAGAAAATAAAAGATGGGTAGATGAGAGAATAATTGAATTTGACTGGAATAAACTAAATACAGAAACGTGTGTGTGGAAGTTGTAGGAGTCATGGGTTTTTTTCTTTTTTAAATTGAGATTGAGAGTGTGATAGATATTATTGTGGCTGATAGATATGGATGAATATTTTATTATTTTGAGATAAACATATTATGGGTGATGGATATGGATCAATATTTTATTATTTTATATTTTATATAGGAAGAGAGAGTGATAAAGCTTAAAGAGTGGAAAGGGATATGAAGAGAAGTGCCACGTAATATTTGTTTTTCTTGAAAATTATGAGAATTTAGGATATAAGTTTTGGAGCCTTTTGACTTAACAACTACATTTGTTTTTTTTTTGTTTTTTTTTTATTTTTCATTTTTAAATTGAGATTGAGAGTGGGATAGATATTATTGTGGCTGATAGATATGGATGAATATTTTATTATTTTGAGATAAACATATTGTGGGTGATGGATATGGATCAATATTTTATTATTTTATATAGAAAGAGAGAGTATGGATCAATATTTTATTATTTTATATTGGAAGAGAGAGTGAGAAGGCTTGAAAAGTGAGAAAAGATATGAAGGGAAGTGCCAGGTAATATTTATTTTTCTTCAAAATTATGAGAATTTAGAATTCAAGTTTTGGAATCTTTTGACTTAACAACTACATTTGATTATATATAATACTAGCTTATCACCCGTACTATGCACGAGATAATTATAAATATTTATATTTGTTATTAATTTTTTTAATATATAAATTATGTTTTTAAAGATTTTTTATAAAAATAATTTAACAATCTTATCACTAACCATAGTGTATATGAGACATTAAAAAGGTTACTGTAGTAACTATGCACGGACTGTATCTATAATTATTTGTATGAGGAGATTTTAAATATTGATCAGAGATTTTGATCAAATCAATAAATGCAGACATGTGAAAAAACATGTAGATTGAAAAAAGTTATTAAATGCTGATAAAGGGATTTTAACCAAATCAATAAATGTTGAGTTTTTTTTTTTTTAAAAAGGCCACTGCAGTAATTATGCACAGGCTGTATCTATAATTATTTGTATGAGGGAATTTTAAATACTGATCAGAGATTTTGATCAAATCAATAAATGCAGACATGTGAAAAGACATGTACATTGAAAAAAGTTAATAAATGTTGATCAGAGAATTTTGACCAAATCAATAAATGCTGAGGGTTTTTTT